TGGATGTCGATGGAACAGGTGTTTCGGTTTCATTCCCACGCACCGCCTCATTCACTTGCGTACCTTGCGAAGGGCCAACCGCTTCTCCCGTCGACGTCGGGCATACCGCAGACGCTGAGCCACCAGCAGACGTCCCCGCAGTAGGAAAGCCGCATAAGATGCGCACGATCTCCTCGGTATCCAAATGAAGCGGTACAGGCCACCTTGACGTTCGCCCATACAACTGGAAAGTGGGGTCCTTGGACATCAGCAAGGCAACCATTTTGAGGTAATTCAAGACACCTGAGAAGTTCTGCGAGCCGTAGGTAACCAACTGAGCAGCAATGTCCCCTAAGACATGCTGCGTCCTGCGAAGTTTCAACGTGCGGTTCAAAACTGCATCGCCATCCACCGCGTTACGTTGCACAATCTGCACCCTCTCAGCTGACGCAACGGACTCCGATGACGCTGCTGCAGGTAGCCGGGGTGCGATCCAGCGACATCCATGGAGTATGTTCCGCGCAGCGTGAGGGTGCCGAGCCGCCACATAACAAATGTGAGCACATGGCAGCCGCCACTGCCGATGAAACTCACAATCGCATTCACTGCCCCGCGTTATGTACACTCGGCGCACTCTCGAACGAGGACAGTTAACCAACCAGTAAGGCCCATCAGCCCTACAACTGAGAACCGTCGACGTACGGAAATGATGCATGAAAACATCCCCCGCAAACTCGCTTAGTTTGCAGAATACGGAAGCCACTGAGGACACCTCCGATGGAACAGCAATTGCGCTCATGCACCGCCTACCTACTATGCTGTTCCTTCGGTGCCCCAGTGTGTTGACCCTATCAACCACGCAATTGAACAGGGTGAGTAGGGAGGACCTCTCCGACAGGTATTCCTTCAAATGTCGGTTTTCATTCTCCACCCTGTTGGTGGTGTGGCAACCAAAAAGAATGGTATCCCTGAGTCTGTGCGCCGCCCAAGAGTCGGCGTGGGGAATCCACGTCGCGCACAAATAACGGTACAATTCAGGAGACGCCCTGCCCACCGCGTTCAGTATGCTGTCAAACACCGAGGCGTCACGTGTGTATATGAGGTTATGCAGCCAACCTCGTAATTGCATTCTACGCGGATCTGAGATCCCGCGTAAGCGGCCGCAACGTCTAGACATGTCCACTTTCACGTGGTAACGACAAAAAACCACCTTCGCGTTCGGATAAAATCGTCTGAACGCGCGGATCTGAGCAGCGCATTTATCCATCACCACCGTGCGGCAACGTAAGGTGCTAGGCACCATATCCCGCATCGCCTCAACCGCCTGCCCATAGCTGTAGGATGTCTCATCCGGTAATAGGGCGTAGAAAAAGGAAATGCCCAGACCGGTGACATCAACCAGCATGCAGTGCCACAAAATGTAGCCGCCATAATTCAGTTGATGGGTCGCATCGCATAAAAGCACCTCACAATAACGACTTACAATGCCGCCAACTAACGATGGAGAGAAAAACACGTAACGTATTTGACTACCCTCGGACACCAACCGACACGCACCGTGCCCTTGCAACATCGTTGCCACATCTGACACTTCACAAGCATTCCCATTCCGATGACGAATCCGCAAATTATACAGGTCGAGACGAGTTACCATTTTTCCGTACTCCAAGTAAATAAAATGACGCAAATCCGGGGTACTATGGAAACTACCCATCAAACGCAGAACTTCCCTCTCTTGCTCCGGAGAAAGACGACGGTTCGCTGCATACAACCATGGGTTGCCCAGCTGAAAATCATGACTATGCGTCATGACGTAACTCCCAACGACATATTTCCCATCTTTCAAAACCACCGAGAACCGAGCCTTGCAATCGTACGATTTGTATCTACATGCGTTAGTAGCCTTGATGCAAAAGATTAACACAACTTACCGCTTGCCACGTGGTGCTGAACGTTTACGATGAACGCAACGGTACATGATGTAACCGCAGCGTTCCCCATCGGGAACCGGCTTCCTCCTTTCACGATGGTATGCCGCAGCAGACTTGGAACATGCACGGGAAAAACAAGTCGCCGTCGCAATCTGAAAACGTTGCACCCGCTTCACAAGGTCCTCAACACTTTCATACTTCCCAATAACCATAGACCTGAACAGCTCACTATCATCGACAACCATGCCGATAGCAGGAAAAACCAGTATGGCGACCGAAAAACCAAAACAAACACTCGCACATGCATCAATACAGGGTATCATTTATAAAGAATCGTAACTCACATACAATGTCATTTCCCAAGCCTAGTTTGCCATCTTTACACATCATCCACCTTAGCAATGTCGCTACGCAACCGTTGCTATGTACAATTTGTACCACGGAACCTACCGAAACCAAACCAGTTTTTCCGACTTCCAATCACACAGTCCCCCCTGTAATTGGCAACTTTTCGAAACCGTCTTGCTTGTGCATGATTACCCAGAGGCCAATCCTCCACAGAATCATATTTCAAATGTAGAGAACATGGATACATCCATATCGCGAATGGCGATGATCAGGCACATTATAGTATGTAGTGTATATTCATCGTTGCCTACGTACTGTAGCTTAGGTTACGATGAGAAAAGTTGTGCTCCGTGGAAGTCGAGGCGCATTGGATACGTTCGTGAGGCCTCAGAAACCCCCGACCGAACCGACCTTTCACCTCCGCTTCTGTGAAGCCATGTATCCTCATTCTTACTACTGCATCTAGAACACGCATTCTCAATCTTTCTTCATCCGTGGCCCCCTTTTAATCCTTACCACAGGGGGGACTGTGTGATTGCAAGTCCTCATAGCCCCCCACCTATTGATCATCACAATTTCAGCAATGGGCAACACGTAGCACACGTAAATCTGCGATTTGCGACGGTCATATTGATATTTTTTGTTACGATGACTGAGTTTTTAATGTAGATAGCACTGCTGTTTCCCTTATAATATTCATTTTTTAACTTTGATAACCTCAAGATAGCATTCATTTTGCGGCAACAACAAGCCACTTTTCTATACTTACACAGAAGATCATTATTATTTTATATTGCATTTAATTATTGTCAACTTTCATCTGCATGGCATCTCCTGAATTAGGAGGTGCAGTCACTTCGTAACAATATATTTGTCGAGATATAGATGCGAGCCTTGAGCCTGATGTCTTTGAACAAGCTTGCTGTTATCCGGCTCCAGACTTGACAGCCAGAGTCGAAGATCTACTGTGATGTCCAATCTGGTTCTACGCTTTGTTAGCGAAACCACTATGCAGAAATCCACATTCAGCCAGATATGTGGATGAAAACAAAGGAAATATATTTCAGATATTTCATGCAGTCTGGGACAACGGTTAGAGAGATCAGTCTTTATCCCAAATATCCCATTTATGTTGCACGAATTTGGATCTTACCAGTGTGTCGCTTTGAAGTTCTATGAGACCTTACTGGATACTAACTCCAACATCGCAGGACCACATCAAATGACTATAATATCCAAATCGGGATTTCTATATCAATCATGGCATGAAAACCCCCTTTCATTTCTTTTCGGAGTTGTACTTACTGACCTAAACAATCAAGTTTTCATCCTTCGACTCTTACTTGACCGTAACGAAAATTAGGAACTGAAAATTCCCGAAGTCCGATGTTTTGTGAATGCATTTTCAACTTTTCAAGAAAAGCGATACGGGATTCCTTACTCGAGACGAGATTACTCAACTTGCCTTGAAGGTTTTTAATAAGCTGGTTTTCAAAAAGGTCAGCCAAGTATGGCACTTCTGGCTTATCTAGTGACAGTTATCTTTCATAACCAGTTCAAAAAATAAATGTGATGATGGCGTCCTGAGCGCAAAAATGGGCGATGACAGTTACCCTTGGAGAGCCATCTAAAATGTTCATGTAACACTAGAACCTGGAAATTTCCACTTTTCTCCTCACTGAGCTGCTGGAAAAGAGGATTTTGGACACGGTGCGATTTGATACTATTGCCAGCTAGTATAACAGTTGACAGGAATCGTTTAGGCGCCCTCCCAAGTTTTTAGCCACTTGGTGCTCTCGGTGAATCATACAATGAATTGTATGAAGAGAAGGGAGATGGGCAGAAAGTCCTTTATATCTTCCGATCATTGTGACAGCACCATCTGTTGCACATGTCACTGTGTTCTTTATTGGAATGGAGTTTTCAGCCAGATAGCTATTGACTAACGCAAATATATACTGGCTCTTTGTGTATAGCTTTTAATTTTCCTGGAAAGCAGCATCTCTTCCACTAACTCATTATGCCACGGGAAGAGCATTGTTGTCAGGTAAAGTACATCCATCTGATTGTGATGAAAATTTTTGGACTTCATTAAAGTAAGTAAGCTACTTTGTATGCTCTGCCCTGTTAGCGAAAACGAAGGTAACCGAAGTTGTTTTCTTAGTTATACATGTCCGGGCGGAGTACGAAGGTTTTACGAAGGTAAACTGAGATTTTGCTTCGTAAAAGCTTAGTGTTTGCCGCTGGGTGACACGAGGCTTACAAAGGTGTCTATCCACCAATGAGCGCTACAGTTCATGATGATCAGCTGATTGCATACAGCATACGCAACCAATCAGATGACGGACGGACCGCACTTACGACGGTAAACGAAGATTTTTCTTAGTAAATACGAAGGGTATTCTTCGTATTGGCGAAGCAATGCTAAGGTTTTTCTTAGTAGATACGAAAGTTTTTCTTAGTAAATACGAAGGTTGTTCTTCGTATTGACGAAGCTTAACTAATGCTTTTCGTAGTAGATACGAAGGAAGTTCCTAGTGTAGGACTAGTTAATACTAGTCCGAGACGGTGCGCGAAGTAAGCGCGGATATCAGAAGGCAATCGGAGTCGGACACAGCGGACTGTACTCGATGGCCTGCAATAAGAAGCGGACGGATGAAGCGAGAAGAGAACGAACACGTGAATGCGGGAACTTACGAGGCTGTCGAGTGTCGAGCCGGTTGTAAGGGCGATTAAAACAAGGAAGAATATTGTGCAATCGGTTAACAATTAAATTGTACATGAAAGATAAGTTATCTTTTAGGGCGCTACAGAGCTCCCCCCCAGAAGGCTGAACATAGAAAGCCTTCGAAATCGAAAAGGACGGCTGAAACGAGGTTCATAAGGCAAAATCGTGCCAAAAATGAGCGTGCGTTCATGTAAATGGGGGTTCGCCGGAAGTTGGAGTCCGCTGTGCCGTTTGTGATTTGTTATTTATTGATTGCAGGGCAGGGTGCATTTCGGCGAGCCGTTGGAGCGGGCTTGCCGGACTACCACAAAACTAGCCAGTCCAGAAAAACGCCGACAGAACTTCAACCTCCGCTGCTGCCGAACGGTGTGCTTTGGGGTGGTCTCTCCCCCCGCCGCACCCCGTCCCGCGCCAAAGCGACCCTCATCCCACGAAGAAACGACCTTGGTCTTACGGAGAAGCGACCGTCGTCCGGCGGAGAAACGACAATCGTTCCGTGGAGAAGCGGCACTTGTCGCACGGAGAAGCGACCAGTGTTCGCGCCAGGGTCCTCGAAAACATTTCTCATTTAGGCCATTCGATCGAAGGGGAGGGTTTGCAGCATGTAGAGACGAGAAAATAAAATAACGCGCAGAAAACGCCAGAAAGAACAAACGGGTGGTCTGCGTGTTTAAATTTTTTTGGTTTTTGTATACTTTTTTTCAAAAAATGACTCTTCGGAGGTTTGTTTTCCAAAACGTTAGTCGACCAAAAATGGGGCAAATATATACAATATCTACCAAGCTAAACGTATTTACACTGTACCTAGTCGGATAAACGAACGGGCTTACGCACCTCCCAACCACGGCGATTGGTCGTTGGAGGCGGCGAGCTAGATTCAGGAGATGTTGGGTCGGCTTGTAGACCGAGATCGTGGTCTGCTTGGACTGTACTAGGATGCTGTAAGCCAGTACGGTGAGTTGTGACGTCGCCCGAAACACTACTAGACGAAATAGGCGAGGTGGTTTCTTCCATAAAGGCAGATTTCAGACGGTCGATTGTGACGACTTCGCGTCGACCACCGCGGTCATTAGTGTACGCCTTACTCGCTCGATGTAACACCTTGAAAGGTCCTATGCACGGCGACTGAAGAGGTTGTCGAACACCGTCTGCGCGAAGAAGGACGTGTGAACACGTAGGCAGTTTCTCGGGCACATACACTGGTGTCTTCTGCGATCGAGGAGTGGGTGGACGTAGCTCACGCATCTGGTGAGCCAATCGATCAGTGTAACTTCCGCAGTCAAAAGTGGAAGTACATGGGACTGGTGCTACCAGCTGTCCGGGCAACCGCAGCGTGCAACCGTAGACTAGCTGCGCTGGTGTGGCGTCGAAATCGGTTTTAACCTTGTTTCTTAATCCTAGGAGGACAAGGGGAAGTGTTTCAGACCATGAAGGATCTGCGTGCGCACGTAGCGCTGCCTTCAACTGGCGGCGAAAACGTTCCACCATGCCGGTAGCAGCCGGATGATACACTGTCATCTGAACATTGCGATAGCCTAAATCCTTAAGCAACGTGGCAAAGGTTGACGAAAAATGTGACCCTCGATCGGTGGTCACGATGGCGGAACAGCCCTATTGAGCTACCCAGCGCTCCATAAAAGCTTTCGCTACTGTTTCCGAGGAGCAATTTGGGATAGGGACGGCCTCAGGCCATCTAGTAAATCGATCGATGCAGGTCAGTAGATATACAGAGCCTTTGGAAGGCGGCAGAGGACCTACGACGTCGACGTGCACGTGATGATAATGTGTGTCTGGCGTCGGAAACGTGCCTAATGGCTTCTCGTGTGCTTGTGCACCTTCGCGCGTTGACACGAAAGGCAAGCAGCTGCCCAGGTACGGACGTCCCGATTAACATTGCGCCAAACGAATCGTGCGGTTACGAGTTTAGCCGATGCACGAAGGCCTGGATGAGACAAGCCGTGCAACGCGTCGAACACGGTCTGCCGAAACTCGCGTGGGTCGACTGGGCGCGGCGTGCCCAGAGATAAATCGCAGAGTGTAGTTCCGTCTGATGATGTCAGCGGAACGGTCGTATGTCCAATGAAAGAGACCTGCGTAGTAGATCAACCTCAGGATCGTTGAGTTGTGCTGTGGCCATGGCTTTCAAGTCGATAGCAGTGCCTGCGTCAGCGGAGATAGCTTGGATGCGGGACAGTGCATCGGCGACGGCGTTGTGCACACCTGAGACATGCCGTATATCGGACGTAAACTGAGCGACATAGTCAATGTGGCGCGACTCTCTAGGAGAGTATCGGTCGGTAGTCGAGCCGAGCACGTAAATCAGGGGTTTGTGGTCGGTGATGACGACAAAGGAGCGGCGTTTTAGGATGTGTCGAAAGTGACGTATCGCTAGATATACGGCTAGTAGTTCTCTACCGAACTTGCTGTAGCGAGTTCCGGTAGGTTGTAGGCGTTTGGAGAAGAACTCTAAGGGCTGCCATGTGTCGGCTACTCCTTGCTGGAAAACAGCGCCGACTGCCATGTCCGAGGCGTCCGTACTGAGGGACAGTGGGGCGGCCGGATCGTGGTGCGCTATAGAAGCTATGTTGGCGATAGCCTCTTTCAGCGACTTAAAAGCAGCGCGCGTTGAGGCAGGAAATTCGAATTTCTTGAGTTTCTTTTGGAGAAGATCCGTGAGGGGTTGCATCAGCGGGAAGCAGTTGGGTATAAATCGTCGGTAAAAGTTGACAGGCCTATCAAAACGCCTGAGCTGTTTGGAAGAATGAGGCTCGGGGTAGTCGATGATGGCTTGAATTTTATCCTGCAGTGGCACGACGCCTGCAGAGGAGGTATGATGGCCGAGGAAGTTGACTGAATCGACACCAAACGAACACTTTTCTGTGTTGATCGTCACCCCATGTTGAGATAAACGATCAAAAAGTGTTCGTACGTGGCGCATGTGCTCTTCTCGTGAAGAGCTTGCGATTAAATTGTCATCGAGATACCCTTAAGCGAAGTCTAAACCGCGACAAACTTGGTCGATGAAACGCTGAAAAGTTTGCGCGGCGTTCTTTAGGCCAAATGGCATACGCAGAAACTCGAACAAACCAAATGGAGTCGTCACGGCAGTTTTAGCGATGTCCGCCTCGGCTACCGGAATTTGGTTGTATGCGCGTACCAAGTCGATTTTGCTGAAGATACTTTTACCTGCCAGACTGGCGGTGAGATCCACTATGTGTGGGATCGGATAGCGATCGTGCGTGGTAAACGTATTCAAGGTTCGATATTCGCCGCAAGGACGCCAGTCCCCCGTGACTTTCTTCGGGACCATGTGCAGAGGTGACGCCCATGGGCTGTTGGACGGTCTAACGAAACCGAGCTGAAGCATGTGGTCAAATTCGGCTCGTGCTGCACGTAGTTTGTTTGGAGCAAGCCGTCTTGGTCGTGCGCTAACTGGCTGACTGCACGTAACTATGTGGTGAGCGACCTCTTTCGTGACTGGTGGAAGTTCTGCAGCCGATCGAACCAGTCGCAGGTGTTCGGAGAGGAGGCTCAAGTAGTGGGGCGGTGCGTCTGCGATCCGAAATACAGGGCTGGTTATCGGGTCATCTGAAAGGACGCCATCAACACCTAGTTTCATATGATCATCTAAAATTCTGTGGCGACCCGCGTCGACAAGCAATCCGAAATGGCGAAGAAAATCGATGCGGATAATTCTGAAAGGTACTGACGCAACCGTGAAAACCCATTAAAAGTCTCTGCGGAGATTTAAATCTAGGTTCATCATGCACTAACCGTATGAAGCTGTCGGTGAGCCGTTGGCTGCCCGTAGATTGTACGTGGGCTTCGAATGCTTGTCTTGCGCGTTGGCAGGGATAACGCTCACTTCGACTCCTGTGTCGATAAGGAAAGTGAGGCGTGAGCGCCTATCCTTGACGTAAAACAGACGGCCTGTTTTGTCGCTGCCGGACGCGTGGGCCGCATTCACGTGCCGGCGAACTAGTTTCCCTGGGCCACTACACCACGCTTGGCTCAAGGTGAACGGCAACGTCGAGCATTATCACCATATGGTTGGCGGCATCCGGTTTCGGATTTGCCTGTCACTGTGGCAAGCCACAGGACGCCTGCGCCTACAGAGGGACCATGGATGGCTTGCGCTGCACCACCCACAGTTCCAACCACACACCCCATATCCAGTGTAAACCCGAAGGAATAAGACCGGGAGGCATGAGGATGGGAACCACGTTTCATCAACGGATCCGGCCCACACTCCTTCACAGGCAAACACAAGCACACTGTATTTGGGAATCAAGCGCAGTCACATCGGGGATATCAAACAACAGCCAATCACTTGAGAGAGAGAGACAAAGAAAATAACTGGATTAATGCATAAGGAAACGGTGACAAACCTTAAGTTAATGAGCATATGAAATAGTTTGTTTACAAACGAATCCTAGGTAAGTTCACGAGGTGAGAAAGTATACATTACGGATTGTTAAGTCTCTTTATTTCAGGCGGTGGGTTTTCAATTTTGCCCTAATGCTTTTCTTCCTCATATAAATGTCTACCTGTACTCTATTCCATTAACTTGCACACGTCGCTTAAGCCAATTGTATTCGATTATCACCATACTGACGATGATATTAACACAAATCATTCATTAAGTTGGCACTTCGGGCTCGACTGCGAGGGGGTGATGGACTGCGTCTGCGCGGTGACCTGTATCTGTACGGTGGGGGTCGGGACTGATAGGCGACGTGACAAATGGCGGCCATTTCGTGGTCGGCGTGCGGTCTTAGTAAGCCTTGTCTTTTTAACTACATTGTTGCTACTTCACGGCGAAGCGCGGCTATCTCTTCGTCTCTGGAGTCTGCTTGCGCGGACGCTTTCGTATTCAAGTCTTTATCAGCTAATGTGACGAAAATGTTACTGGATACCTTCATGTGTTATGGGATTCTCTCAAAGGCTGCGTCCGCGGTTATTTACCAACTCTTTGAGTGATCTATCTGGATAAGCTATGAGCATTAAAGGAAGAGGATCAGGCAGGCGTGAGAGTCACAGTTCTTTTAATGCTCCTTCACTCATATACGACGGGCCAACTATCTGCTGAATATCGCGGAGCAAAACTGAAGGCTTGCGATCGCCTAACTTAGTGCTGTGAATGAATTGCTCCAATCGAGCCCGAGCGCTGGGTTGCGACTCCTTTAGGATCAACTGTTTCAGTGCTACGTATTTACCGTCTTTCGGGGGATGAAGCAGTACGTCTTCAACCAGTGTCACCACCTGTTGCGGAAGGCGTGGGACGAGTTGGTTGTATTTAGCATGGTCGGCAGAGGTACCTATGTTCTCTAACTCTATCTAAACAATGTCAAACCAGACGCTGGGCTTGTGTGCCCTAAAACCCGGAATAGCCAAGGTGAGCAAATTTATGCTGCCGCCCGATCCGGTTTTTACATCGACATCAGACATAGTATATGAATAATACGAATGGTTTTAAAAACAAAATGGATGGAAAATAATCCATCATGGATTAGGGAAAAAAGGACTGGGAACAAACCCACCTAAAACGAAACGGTCAAAATACTTGAAAATTCGCGCGTGCGAATCGGGTCACCAAATTGTAGGACTAGTTAATA